CTGAAACCATAAAATATATAGAAGGAAATATAGGCGAAACACTACGTGATTTGCACATCAAAGACATCTTTACAGACACATCACCCAAAGCAGTGATAGTGAAGGCAAAGATAAACAGCTGGGACTACATCAAATTAAAGAGCTTTTGCACAGCAAAAGAGACAATAACAAAAACAAAGAGAAACCCCACCAACTGGGAGAACATTTTTGCACCCAACACTAATGATAAAGGACTGATCACAAAAATCTGCAAAGAGCTGATGAGACTCAACAACAACAAAGAAAATAATCCAGTCAAAAAATGGGCAGAAGAGCTTAAAAGAAACTTCTCTGAAGAGGAAATGCAAATGGCCAACAGGCATATGAAAAAATGTTCAACATCACTTGTCATCAGGGAAATGCAAATCAAAACTACCATGAGATACCATCTTACACCAGTGAGAATGGCACATATTAAAAAAACTAGCAACAACAAATGTTGGCGAGGATGTGGAGAAAAAGGAACTCTTCTGCACTGTTGGTGGGAGTGCAAACTGGTCCAACCACTGTGGAAAGCTGTATGGAGATTTCTGGACCTACTAAACATAGAGCTTCCATATGATCCAGCAATTCCACTCCTAGGTATTTACCCAAAGGACACAGAAACATCAATTCCAAAGAACACCTGCACCCCTATGTTTATAGCAGCACTATTTACAATAGCTAAGCTTTGGAAACAACCCAAATGCCCAAAAATAGATGACTGGATCAAGAAGATGTGGTACATATATACCATGGAATATTACTCAGCATTCAAAAAAGATAAACACATGCAATTTGCAGCAACATGGATGGCGCTGGAAGGGATCATGCTCAGCGAAATAAGCCAAAAAGAAAAAGAAAAATACCGGATGGTCTCACTCATAGCAGGGATCTAGAAAACTTAAATAAGGGACCAGGAAAATGAATAACTACAAGAAAGTGAAAATCAAAATCAACAAAAAACTATGAACCAGAGACACTTTTAGGGGGGCGGGGTGGGAGGGGAGGGATTGGGGTCAGAATGGGGGGGCTGCAATTGTATGGGGAATATAACAATAAAATTTATTAAAAAAAAAAAAAAAAAAAAAAAAAAAAAAGACATCTTTAGAGACACACCACCCAAAGCAGTGATAGTGAAGGCCAAGATAAACAGCTGGGACTACATCAAATTAAAGAGCTTCAGGACAACAAAAGACACAATAACCAAAACAAAGAGAAGCCCCACTGACTGGAAGAAAATTTTTGCACACAACAATGATGCTAAAGGACTGATTATAGTAGAATTTTAAATTTCAAATTAGTAGTCCTTGTTGTGAATGTTATGTTTATATTTTCTACTTATTTCTGTTGAGAACCTTTCATATTGTTTCTAGTCTGGTGATTATAAATAAAGCTGATATAAAAGCCTGGCTAAAAAAAAAAAAAAAATAAAAATAAAAAAAAAAAATAAAAAAGGCAGGAGATATCAGTATGGAAACTTATCCCAGAGCAAATACAGAGACAATTCTTAAAATACTAACAAATAACCTTATAACTGAGAGTTTTAAAGATAATAAAATATGTTTAAAACATGAGGTTTTAAACAGGAAAATTTACTGGCATATTCAAGGTCCTTTTTATTTTTTTTTAACATTGAAGAATAGTTGACAAATATAATTGTATATACTTACAGTGTATAATGTAATAATTTGGTATGTGTCTACTTTGTGGGATGGTTACCAAGATCAAGATAATTAACTACACACAGCACTGGCTTATGTGGAGGTCTCTTGTGACATATTGTGATTCTTTTGTTTTGAAATTCAAACATAGCTCTGTGTGTGTGTGTGTGTGTGTGTATCTGTATATATACTTTTTATTAGTTGGAACTTTCCATAGCAGAATTTACAAAATTAAAAGGTAGTATTTTTCATGTAGCTGAAAATATCAACTCTTTAAGTGTAGATTAATTAAGGCCCCAAGAGATTTAGTTGACTTCTCATTCTCAGTTCTGTGTTGTCCTTTTCTCAGATTCCAGGTGCTGACAATGTAGTCGCCTTCTAAGTTCAGACCAGCATAAGAGGAGAAACCTCGTTCAGATCATCTCTCTGGTCATTTCCAGTAAATCATGGATTTACTGATTAGATCAGCATGAGGGATTAGTCATCAAGGTCTCATTCATTAGGGTGGGGAGATTCAGTACTGATTGGCCAAAATGGAGTCTCCCTTTAACAGTATGCACTAGAATTGGGGATGGAGGATACGCAAAGAAAATTTGATACTGTTTTTTAAAGTGTAGAGCCAGTGTAATGGATACTAGTAATAGCCTGGTTGGCTGCTATGACTACTTTTACAAAAAGTTCTAAAAACAGAAGGAAATACCATGTGCATTGGGTGACTACTCCCACAGCCTTCTCTGCCCTTTGTGAATCTAAGGCAGGCAATAGCCAGTGTAGTGCCAGTGACTGATACTAAGCTTTTGAGTGTTTAAGCATCCATTTTATTTTTTTTTGATAATTTACATTTATTTTATATATTTTTTACATCATTTTTCATTTTTGCACAATGTATCCATTTTCATCTTGGTTATATTCCTCATACAATTCCCATCCCCCTTATTTTGACCCAAATCCCTCCTCCCCCCTTCCATGTAGTGTGTCTCTGGTTTATAGTTGCTTGTTGCTTTTTATTTTTACTTTATTATAATTAGCCTGTTTCCTGGTCCCTTATTTAGGTTTTCTAAATTCCTGCTATGGGTGAGACCATCCGGTATTTTTCTTTTTCTTTCTTTTTCTTTCTGGCTCATTTCACTGAGCATGATCCCTTCCAGCTCCATCCATGTTGCTGCAAATTATCTTTTTTGATGGCTGAGTAATATTCCATTGTGTATATGGACCACACCTTCTTGATCCAGTCATCTATTTTTGGGCATTTGAGTTGTTTCCATAGCTTACCTATTGTAAATAGTGCTGCTATAAATATAGGGGTGCAGGTGCCTTTTTGAATTAATGTTTCTGTATCCTTTGGGTAGATACCTAGGTGTAGAATTGCTGGATCATGTGGAACCTCTGTCTTTAGCAGGTTGAGGAATCTCCACACAGCTTTTCAGAGTAGTTGAACCAATTTGCACTCCCACCAGCACTGCAGGAGAGTTCCTTTTTCTCCACATCCTCGCCAACATTTGTTGTTGCTAGTTTTTTTAATATGTGCTATTCTCACTGGTGTAAGATGGTATCTCATTGTAGTTTGATTTGCATTTCCCTGATTACAAGTGATGCTGAACATTTTTTCATATGCCTGTTGGCCATTTGCATTTCCTCTTTGGAGAAGTTCCTTTTTAGCTCTTCTTAGGCCTCCATTTTAAAGACACCCATCTCATAAATGTACCACCAGTAAGATGGTACTGTAACAAACTAACTAGATAAAGACATGCCACCTTTACCTGTTAAAAAGTCCTTTTTAAAGGACGCTTTTAAAAATCCCTAGGTTGGGCCTCACTGGTGGCGCAGGCGGTTGAGCGCAGTGCTCTGAATCTGTCTGCAGCCTCTGCAGTGCCGGTTTGATTCCCGCTGGCCTTGGAGCAACCCACATGGCAAGCAGACCTCTCCTGTCTTGCCCGCTGTGCCCCTCAGCAGTGTATTTCATCAGTCTGCCTGTTCTGTTCCCTGCTCTGTCTCTGGTGAATCCTCTCACCCTCCTGCGCATCTGGACTGTACCCTGGTTCATGTATAAATGAAAATAAATCTTTAAAAAAAAATTCTAAAAAAATAAATAAATAATAAGCCCTAAGTGACCTAAAATTGACCAACTGAGTAATCCCCTTTCTCCCTTCCTATTTTCTAATTTATGTTCTTACACTTTAAATTAACCAATAAAAGTGAATCCATGGAATCCTAGACACCCCATCTTCATACCCTAATAAGGGTATGCTTCTAAGTCTATGCTTCCTCCCTCTCTCTACCTGAGCCCATGCTCTGCAGTTCTCATGCATTCCATGTAACCCCTAGGACCTGTGAAAAATATATCTTGTTCTTTAAAATTCCCTGCTGGTGGTTGGTAAAGTGTGTGTTGCAATCACGAGTGCTGAGAGCCAGGCTGGCCACATTAGTGCTGGTGGGCGAACTGTCTATGGGGCTTGCTACAAGTGACAGGGGCCCAGTGGGTGCCCTAGGCATCCCAGCTGAGAGCTTCACTTTTCATGGGCTGGGACAGCCTCAGTGGCTAGGGACAAATGTCACGTCTCCACTGCTTTTTTAAAAAATTACTTTTTAACAAGGGTTTTTAAAGCAATACACCCTTTTTCTTTAAATGTCAAATGTTCTTAGATCATATACAAATGTATCAATAATCCCTTAAGTTGATCCACATAAGCAGTTCCAGAAGAGGGCAGGAGCTGCCCAGCAAGTCCCAGATAGAATAAAAGGAGAATCAGAATTAAAGTGAGAATGAGAGAGTTGTATGTATGATAACTGTGCCCGAGTCACATAATAGAAACCACTAAGCATGTTGTCCTTAATAAAGTTATTTTATTAAACTAAGTCCTTCTTTATTTAGCACAAGAAAAACATTTTCATTAATGGTTCCAAAATTTCTTTAATGATATTTAGGCAGTAATTTCAAATGGAATCACGTGCATATGCATACATAGAAATGATTATTAAAACACACACGCACACACACACACACACACACACGATTATTACTAGTTGAATCTATAGCCTGAGGTAGCAAGGAAAGAAAAGGTCAGTCTTCCAAACACAAAACACATGTATGGTGAGAGGACCAGAAGCTGGAGGGAAGAAACATGTTTATTCTTTTTGTTCTTTGTCATTTTATAAGGCAAAGACCCTTCTTGTTGATTACATTTTATAATGTCAAATTTGATCAAATTGTAAAATACCAATCAGACTGTAGTTTTCAAACCATTATGGATAATACAAAAAAGATGAAATTAGCAAGTAGGAAATCAGTATTAAATTTTCCCATCTTTATTTTGTTAGGAAACACTGGAAATTTGTGCAGTCACAAAGAAGTGTCTACTCATCTCAGAAACTCACAGAAGCCTTTCCTAGCTCTCTGAGAGCAGCATACTTACAGGTAGGTAGTGAATACCCTTCTGTCTGTGTTGTGGACACGCACTCTCCCAGTGCACTGGGTTGTGTTTCCCTGTAGACCAAAGAATCCGGACAAAGGCAGTTCCTTTATATTCTTGGGCTTAGGCTGCAAGAGTTTTCCCCATGTGCAGCTGTTGTACTTGAATTCCTGCTGACGGTTTCCGAAGAAATGCTGTAAGTGTCTTAGGAATTTGAATTAGCCAGTTAATAGAGTGGCATCTAGCTCCAGCTGAGAATTTCTCAGCTTTCCTCAAGCCTTATCAGAATACTAGAGGAGAGAACTTGTAGATGGGCAGATTACTCCTGCAGAACCAGAAGGGGGAGCCATAGTGTAAAGGTATTTCTGTTTGGATGAATAATCATCACAATATAGATCACATAACTTGTGGCACGTCACAAATTAAATCAAGCTATTAGCATGAGAGGTTTGTAAAGAACATTTGGGTAAATATGGATGTCTATATTCCCATTAATGTGATCAAGATTGACTAGAGAGGGCCTCCCTGATGGTGCAGGTGGTTGAGCACAGCTTCTGCAGCGCAGGTTCGATCCCAGCCTGCCACAGAGGTATCCACATGGCACAGCAGACCTCTCCTGTCTCCCCCACTGCTCCCATCTGCAGTGTATTTTGGTCAGTCTGCCTGTTCTGCTCCCTGCTCTCTCTCTGGTGAATCCTCTCACCCTCCTGCACATCTGGCCTGTACCCCGGTTCTTGTATGCATGAATAAATATATCTTAAAAAAAAATGACTAGAGAAAAGTCTTTACCAAGCTCAAAAATTACTAATCATTATCATCATTATGTCAGAAATCTTATTTGAAGAGGAGAATTTGGGCCTCCCCAATGGCGCAGTGGGTTGAGTGCAGCACTGTGAAGCTGTCCACAGCCTTTGCAGCCCGGGTTCGATTCCCAGCTCTCCAGGGAGATTCCCACATGGCGCTGCAGACCTCTCCTGCCACGCCCAACTGCTCCCCTCAGCAATGTATTTCTTCGTCAGTCTGCCTGTTCTGCTCCCTACTCTGTCTCTGGTGAATCCTCTCACCCTCCTATGCCTCTGGCCTGTACCCCAGCTCTTGTATAAAGATAAATAAACCTTTAAAAAAAATGAAGAGGAGAATTTATTGGTCAGTGGGTTTCAGTTTTGGAAGTTTGGCTGAGGAATATGTTGAAGCACTCCCTTAAAGGAACCCATCTTCCAAGAATAGCAGGTGTTCTTGAACTTGGACAGGTTGGCATTGGGGAAAAATGAGCTTTGTTCTTAACTTTGACAAAAACTCAAAGTCCCAGATATACAAGGTAGAGAATCCAGTTGTGACATCTGTTATTGACCTTGTCCTAGCAACGATAGTACCAGCAATGAAGGCAGGCACTGGTTTAGCTGACTTCTAGTTCTACTACAAACTCAGACATGACCCTAAGGCACACGGGCAATATTCTCATTTGCTATTTCCTGCTTCTTACGGAAGAGTGAGCCTCAATATCCTACCTGAGTCTGAGATTATAAAATTTAAAGACAGTCCAAACTGAACCCATTTCAGTTACAATCCCTTCTATACAGGTACAAAATTGAGAAAAAATATAAGCACAAAGACAGTATCTGGCAAAGAACAGATACAATCTAAAAAATCTAACAAATACTGCTTATGAAATTAAATAGAATAAAGTGTTAGAAAAAAGTCTCTAATTGGTATTTTGATCAAGTATGAGACTCGGATATGGTATCCATGGAGCCAGAGTAGACAGTCAGAAAAAGGTTTGATGTGAAGTCAGGCATATTGTTTATAGACAGTGCAATCTGGTTAAATTTATAGCCCACAAATGGTTAAATGTAATTTAGTGGGCTTTAACCTTCCTACTTTATTGTTTTTCCCACCACCATCACTTATACCCCTTTGATCCTTTCTCCCTCCCTCTTAACCTCAGAAATCTCCCTTTGCTTGTTAGTGTCTGCACATTTTTTTTTAAAGATTTTATTTATTTATTTATACAAGAACCAGGGTACAGGCCAGATGCGCAGGAGGTTGAGAGGATTCACCAGAGACAGAGCAGGGAACAGAACAGGCAGACTGACTGAAATACACTGCTGAGGGGAGCAGCGGGCAGGACAGGAGAGGTCTGCCGCGCCATGTGGGACCCTCTCCCGCCAGGATCAAACCGGCACTGCAGAGGCTATGGACAGACAGCACTGCGCTCAACCGCCTGTGCCACCGGGGGAGGCCCAGTGTCTGCACATTTTTAATAGTATTTTGTTTCGTGGAATTGTCTGCTATGTAGATGCCCAATATTCATCTCTGTCATTCTGACTTGCTTTACTATACACAATTCCCTCAAACTCCTTTCATTTTGTTGTAAATGGAAACATTTCATCATTCCTTCTGGCTGAATAGTATTCCATTCTGTGTATATACCACATCTTTTTTTCTTTCTGTTTTTTTTATTTTAATTTAATGAAATTGTTTTGCATCCCTGTGAATATTTTGTTGGTATAGGATTTCTTCCCTCAAGTGTGATCATCATTACTCTCACACCACCAAAGCCCTGTTGTCCTGCACCATAGTCCATTGTACCTCTTCTCCCTTCTCACCTGTCTCCCACTCCCTCCCCATTCTCCTCTGGATGCGTCAAATCTCTGGTAAGCTTTCTTTTTTTCTTTTTATTAATTTCCTCCCTCTGTTTACATTAGCTTATTGTGTTGCTATTTTTTAAAATTTTATTTTTATATTCCCCATACAATTGCAACCCCCTTATTTTGACCCCAATCCCTCCTTTCTCCACCCCCTTCCCCCATAGTGTGTCTCTGGTTCATAGTTGTTTGTTGATTTTCATTTTTTCTTTCTTAGAGTTATTCTTTTTCCTGGTCCCTTATTTAGGTTTTCTAGATTCCTGCTATGAGTGAGACCATCCGGTATTTTTCTTTTTCTTTCTGGCTTATTTCACTGAGCATGATCCCTTCCAGCTCCATCCATGTTGCTGCAAATTGCATGTGTTTATCTATTTTGAATGCTGAGTAATATTCCATTGTATATATGTACCACATCTTCTTGATCCATGTGTTGCTATTTTTCTAATGAGATTAGGACTGAGTCCCTTTCTTTTCTCATCTTTTATCTATAATAATATAAACATTTGAAATTATAAATGTTTCTGAGTCAAATAGTCACTTTGTCCTATAGCTTTTGAAAATTCTTTTTATTTCCTTCTAGAGACTATGAAAATTCAGTTTTGATTTCCTCTTTTATCCTATTCAATTTGATTGAGGAGAGGTAAAGAGGCTGCAACTGATGGTAAAGAGAAAGGGCCAGAACCAGGTTATCTTCTTCCCAAAGCCCAAGTTGGTTTTAGTGTCTGTCTTTGACCCTTTTGTTTGGTTCCTCTATATTCCACATATAAGTGACACCATCTAATATTTATCTTTATTGGCTTATTTAACTTAGCATATTCCCTTCCACCTCCTTGTATGTTGCTGTTAATGGCATGCTTTTATCTTTTTGATTGATGAATAATATTCTGTTTTCTTGATCCACTTACCTGCTTGGGGGCACATAAGGGTTCATATAGCTTGGCTTTTGTAACCAGTGTAGGTTTCCTTTTAAATTAGCATTTTTTAAAATCTTTTTGGTAGATAACTGTGAGTAGAATTTCAGGTCATATGGAAGATCTATTTTCAGTCTTTTGAGAAATCTCCATACTACTTTCAGCAGGGGCTGGACTAGTCTACATTGCCACCAGCAGTGTAAGAGGGTTCCTTTTTCTCCACACCCTCACCAGCACTTGTTGTTTCTGTTTTTTTTTTTTTTTAAATATGGGCCATTCTCACTGATGTGCAAGATAATCTCATGTCATTTTGATTTGCATTTCCCTGATAAGTGATGATGAACATTTTTTCATGTGCCTGTTGGCCATCTGTATGTTGTCTTTGGAGAAGTGCTGGTTACCACTGGTATTTTAAAATACCATTAAAGACATGAACTGAAGATAGGCTCCCACTCAACATTAAATCATTCAAGTAGAAGGAAATTTTAAGAAAGTCTTTCAGGGCTTGGAGGAAATGCATACTGACATTAAGTGGATGAAGAATAGAAAGGAGGTATATTTTGTGTATTAACAATTCCAAAAGTAAAAACCAGAACCAGCCAGGGAGGAGAAATCACCAAAATAATGATGGAAGAGAAATTCACTAAAATAAATGAGGGTTATGATCTTATTTTAAAGGTTTAGCAAGTCCTAGGAAAGATTTATTTAATAGTCATAATAAATTTATGCATTATATGAAAATTATTTTATACCTCTCAGTTATGATGCTCATCAAGGAAAAAAATGTACATTATTAAAACTATTTGGAGAAAATCTTATACCTGTCATGCTGGATGAGTAATCAAAATAGCATCAGATGGGTTACCAAAGGAGAAATCAATTCAATAACATATGTGGAGAATTTACCTAGTTGTCAAATCTGAAGTAAAATGGGATCAACCAGGTATAAATATAGATAGATATGGATAGACATAGATACAGATGTAAATACAAATATAAATGTAGATATCTGTGTTAAATGACACACAGTGTGAAGGAGGGTGAAGGGTGAGACTTCATGTGAAAAGGAGGAAATAACTTCATCTTTTACTCTGAAAGTAAAGGACAAGATTCTCAGGGAAGATATGTTCGCTGGTAAATGTATATCTGGATGATAGCCACTAAACCATATTCTTCTAAGTCATAAAAAGGGAAGCACTGATTGCTTCTTCAGTTAGGAAAAAGAGTAAAGCATTGAAACAAAGATACAACTTTTCTCAGCCTCTAGGGTCTTCATTGCTTTTAACTTAAAATAATTTGCATTCCTTAAGTTATATTAACAGACTTCCCAAATCCCACAGGACCTTGATTGACCTTAGTTCTCTATAGCAAGGTGGCACTTATTGAAAGAGGCTTGTTGCGAGAAGCCTGTATGACTCTTTTGGGGAGAATGACCCCATAATACGGTCC